GCGACCCGCTCCCCCCTTTTCCGTCGAGCTTCGGTGTTTCTTCACCAAGGATGCTCCCGCAGACCCGGGCCCGAAAGGGGGTGCGGACCGCACAGCCGCGGGGCACCGGGCTCGCTCTATTTAGGAATTTAGCCCGAGGTGGGGGAGGGGTCCCCGGGGGAGGAGGGAGGGTGGGAGGGAAAGAGAAGGGAAAACCTTGCAACACACCCAAGTGCAAAAAGCTCCGGAGGCCCTCAGATCCGCAGACAACGCTGCGGAGCAAACATTCAGAAAAAAGAAAAGTGTGCTAGGAGTGAGTATAGTGCCTGGAAGGAAACTTCAAATGTTACTTTCACCTTGTTCCAGGCCTGAAACATTTTTTTTTTAAATTGATAAAGCGAAAAGACAACTAAATATAGATAAGGAAAAAGAAAAGCTCACCAGTTCAATTCAGCAGAAACTACACGACTTAGAAGTGTTCCCAAGTAGAAGGCAGCTCAGTCTGTTTCCTACGTTATGGCAAATGCAGTGTTTAAATCAAGGAAGAAATTTAACTTACATTGTCCTCCATGGTCCCCTCATAGCAGAATGGACTGGTGAGAATTGTTATGGGAGGAAGGATTAAACAAACAAAATCCTATTAAAGTTCTTAACTTCTGTTTTCATTTTCTGCCGGCCAGATACCCAACTGATTTCCCTGAAAGTAGAAAAACATTGCGTTTTTACAGGGCTCAAACAGATTTGAACGAACCATAGCACAAAAGTATTTTTGGAGTGACAAAATTTTACCTCGTTGTTTTTGCACTTTAAAAAGTTGATCTCAATTCCAGAAAAATGCTTATTAAATTTCTTTATAAAAACGTCTCCAATCAATACAAATTCCATTCGATGCAGACTAAAGTAGGAGACCTGTAGCCTAAATTAATTAACCTTTCCTCAAGATCAATTGGTTTTCTGTTGGTTTAGAAGTAATACTGTAGAACATTTAGCCATAATGTATTTTAATGTGATACCTCAATATGTCAAGAGGAAAAATTTGTTGAAAAGATAAAGTTATTCATTAGATGCCTACTAAATTTGTAAAAAATATTTTACCTTCATAATTAAATTTTAATTGTCTATTTAATTGTAGTAAAATGTGTTTTGTAACTAAAAGTAGTTAAGATAATGTTTAATTACTTCAAGATAATTATGTGCAAAAAGGTGATGATTTGTAGGCTATCTTGGGTTAAGTATGTAATTACATTATGCTGAAATTTAGAAATAAGTTTTTTCCCCAAATGGTAAGAATCATTAGCATCAATGGAAACTCACGAGAGTAAGACTGTAATAAAATTAAACAATTTGTAAGATATTACAATCTTCCTATTTAGAAATAGAATACATTTGAGGAGATACCAGGTTTTCTTAAAGTAGCCATTTATACAAATTTTATTTTCTACTGATGATTCTATTTGTTCTAATCAAATAACATTTAATAATAGATTACTTTAAATATTGTTTTTTCTCCTTCCAGATAGTTAAGTTTGAGGTCACAATGGTTCCACTAGTGTTTCTCTTTTTAGCTCCCAGTCTCACTTGGTTCATTGACCTTTGGACAGCTCCGACTGCAGCCCTCACCTTTTTTGTTTGTTTTTTTGTTTTTCTCCAGCCATCACTCCAGCAAGCAATAAGGGGGTTGGGGGTGGAAAATACCTATGCAGTTCAATTTTAACTTTCCTACTGTATGTCTTTAAAAATCGGACAAGGGGGAAATCCTCACTTGCTGCCTTTCACTTTCTAACTTCCTCGTTTCTCCAATTATGTCAGCTGTAACTACACAGCATACAAGCAAAACTCATGGGGAGCCTGAGCTCCTCTCTGCAGCCCTGGGAAGTGAGGAGCATCGCTCTAGCCAGATGCCACTTCATGATATTTTAGGGTTTTCTATGTTCTAGTTAGAGTATAAAAGCAGAACACTCTCCCTCAATATCCAGCAAGGAAAGGGCTTAGAATACCCCTTGAGGACCTAGGGGTTCAGGTGGGATGCTGGTCAAGCCGATTTCAGAACCTGGCCAGTGGCATGGCAGGCCTGACTCGGAGTTCTAAGTGTGGGGGTGCTTTGGGT